ATATATATATATATATATATATATATATATATATATATATATATATATATATATATATATATATATATATATATATATACATATACATATATATATATATATATATATATATATATATATATATATATATATATATATATATATATATATATATATATATATATATGCATATATATATATATAAATATTTATATATATATATATTTATATATATATATATATATATATATATATATATATATATATATATATATATATATATATATATATATTAGCCATATATATTAATTTAAATGTATCATACATCTACAAAAGTAGTGTTGGGTGAACTCTATTTTTGTTCAGAAAAAAATTGAATACTCTGATCTGAAAATAATTTCAAATCAAGATAAGACTATCCGAAATAAAAAAGTGAAAATTATTAAATTGTTTCGCTCAGATTTTTAGAAAAAGAGTTTTAAAAATGTAAACAAATCACGCTTTTAACAGTCAGATAAATGTAACAGAAAATCACAGTTTTTTATATACTAAAACATCTTTATATTGTTTTTATCATTTTTGACTTAACTATTCAATTCTCTTTTATTATTATTTCATTCTATCAAAAATATGCAAATAATAACTACGAAGTAAAACTTTTAAAATGTTGTTGCTACTCAGAAAAATTTTTGTATCTAAAGGCCGTCACTATCTTTAAAATTATAATATTTGAATTTAACACTGCGCTTGCGTATAATAACTTTCCACATCTAAACGACCGTGTAAGGTATCTAAATATGTACTTATTTTTCATTTTTTCAAATAAGTTAGAACTAAATTGACTGGTAAAATATTTTTTTTTTAGTACAATGTTTCTTTTTTAAAAAAATTTTTCAGTTTTGTCGTTATTCTTTTTAAAACATTTTAAGCAGTATTTGTTTTATTTTTTGGAGCAGTTAAGAGGAGCTTATCGCTTTTTTAGTAAGTTCAAGTTATTTTCTCATACATAAATTAAGATTTTCGATGTATTTCAGTCTATTTTATATTTCTCTATATCTATGTATATATTTTCTCTAGGATAAATAAAAAGGAATAGAAAAAAAAGGAAAATTTCTTCTGGAATTTGTTAAAAGAGTGTTGTTCTATGCTTCATTTTAAGGTATTTAAAAATGTATTTATTAGAAATTTTTAATTTTGTTCTTAAATGATTTCTTCTTTTTCATTACTTTAAATTAATATATACTGACTGATATAACTTCATTTTTATTAACACTTTTGTTCATTGTATCTGCACTCTTTGTTACATTAAAAATAATTGAAGCTAATAAATATTGTTTTATAGTTGTTTAAAGTTTGCATATATGTTTATATTATGCTCGAAATTAAAAAAGTTTTTGATAAATACGTGTATTTGGTGATATATGCTATATAGTTGTTTATATAAATGTGTTTTTATAATGGTATGAAATGTATTTTATCTAATGTGTATATGATTGTTAAATGAGGTGTTTTTACATGTTATATAACATTAAAAAAATATATTGTGTTTTATAGTTCGTATATATGTTTATATAATGCTGTTTTCATGATTTCAATGTGGTGTGACTTGGCAAACGTGTAGAGATATATTATTTATTCTTACCTGTCATGCACTGCTTAAGGTGTAAGTGTTGTCTAGCCTTTTATATAATATATTGAAAATACACAACGTTATCTTTGATAATTTTTTTGCGTAATGTTGTTATCTTTGGCTTATCTTTATGGTGGTAACTATTGTTTAAAAAATGATTAACAGGTTGTTTCATTCACAAGTTCAACATGATTAATTAGACATAATTAATCATGTTGAACTTGTAGTAGATAATGGTTAGTAGCTTAGAATTATAGGTAATATATAATCTTTATAGAGTTTTATTATGTAACTAATTTATTGTAATCTTTTTTTAAATTGTACTTTTAAATTTAAAGCTTCGTGTTATAGATGTTAATATTGAAAATATAGGTAGATTACTATAAATCTGAGTTGGTGTCTAGCGTTAAAAGATATTTATGGGTAGTTTCATGCTTTCACATGATTTTAATAATTGGGATAAAAGCCATGACAACATTTTGTTATAAATAAAATTTATCTTAGTTTAGTTTTTATTGAAAATTTTGATATAAACAAAATTTGTCTATAGTATTGTTAATACCTTTGCTCTTTAAAAAAACGTTTCTGGCTTTTCTATAAATGCATGAATGAATTAGGTTTAGGGTATAATTGTGTTATTACATGTTTGTTTTTCTATATTTAATATAGCATTAATCATTTTCATACATTTTTATTTAAGTTTAATTGTTTATAATTTATTAAGATTTAGATTATTAGAAAATTCATGTTTACAGAGTTGTTATTAATCATAATTGAGTTGTTGTACCAAAAAAATTGAAGAGGTTTATTTATAAAATATGCAATATATTTATATAATTTTTTTTTCATATGTTTTCACTAATAAATAGTTCAACAAAAAAAAAAAAAAAAATATATATATATATATATATATATATATATATATATATATATATATATATATATACATATATATATATATATATATATATATATATATATATATATATATATATATATATATATATATATATATATGTAGTTCAACAAAAAAAAATATATATATATATGTAGTTCAACAAAAAAAAAAAATATATATATATATATACATACATATATATATATATATATATATATATATATATTATATGTAGTTCAACAAAAAAAAATATATATATATATATATATACATATATATATATATATATATATATATATATATATATATATATATATATATATATATATATAATATATATATATATATATATATATATATATATATATATATATATATATATATATATATATATATATATATATATTCATGTATATTTGTATATATATATTTATATATATATATATATATATATATATGTATATATATATATATATATATATATATATATATATATATATATATATCCATTCATCCATCCTTAGAGTCGCGGCAGTGCAAAGTTTGAGTGTTTGGGGAGAATTTACAATCCCACGTTAATAACCTGTTTTGCATTGTACTTAACACGTTGATAACTTTTATTATGTGTTTTGTTCAATGTTTTCTCCCAACACAACAAACCTTGAATCCAAAGCTGTCAGAATATGTTTTGAAATTACAGCAAGTAACACTGAGTTAAAGAAAAGTTCTTTAATCTTAATGCATGCAGATATCATGTATTGGAATTGAGAATGGTTCATTTTCGTAGTTCAGTTTGAGAAGAACACTTCACAGGATCAAACAACCCTGAAAATCAAAAAAAAAAAACAATATAAACAATAGCATGTTGAATATAAACAATGAAATGTATACATGTGTAACATGTTGAAAAAAATAAAAAGTAACTGCTATAAAAATTTTTTGGATAGGACAACAATCATAAAAACGTATTCAGTTAGCCCCAATACTTACAATAGGTCACAATAGGTCACAATACTTACGGGAAATTCTTGTAACTTTCACAACTCAAAGTATAAAAAAGAATATTTTTTGAAAAAAAATTGCGATACCATTTATTTTTACTGGAAATATATCAACCTTTTTTAAATGTTATAAGCTAATTCTAAATATTAATAAAATAAATGGACTCTATTCTATTCGTTTGCATAAAACAATTTTTACCTACAAACATGCCGCAACTTTATAAAGAAGAAATTGAAATAAGAAATGATTCCGTTACAAAATTCATAGGCTTTTATCTCGATGAAAACATCTCCTGGAATCAACACATTAATAATGTATATACTAAAATTTTAAAAAACATCGGGGTTCTATATAAAGCTTTTAAGTACATAAAATTGCTTAAATCAATTTTATTACTCATTTATCCAAAGTAACATAAATTATGCAACACTGCTTGGGGGAGTACTGTAAAAAGGAAGTTAAAAACTCTATATTGTCGTCAAAAACATGCGATCCCCGTAATATAACATAAACTATGCTGATCGTTTTACACATACAAAATTTATTTTTACTGAAATGAGATTATTTAATAAATTCAATGTATTTAAAGTTTCATGTTTTGACCCCTATGTGGACCTATGGCATAATATTATTCTGCGGAATTTCGCTTTACCAACTTCCTTTTACGTTTTTAAGCTCATCTAAAAAAATGTATGTTTTTAGTTGATAACTCTCAGATTCCTTTAATATTTTAAAAATTGTGATTCAATTTAAGTTTTATCACCTTCTTATTTTATTGTTCACTATATTTTTTAGTATGTTATACTTGCCTTTATTTTACTTGCTTGTACTTTCTACGGTTATAACGACATGCTTATATTTATATATGAATATATCAATAAATATATATAAAGAATCATTAAATAATAATCATTAAATCTATCAAATATCAATATTTCAGAATTACAATATTACAAGTATCAAATAAAGGTAAATATAAAAAAATGTATATATATATATATATATATATATATATATATATATATATATATATATATATATATATATATATAATATATATATATATATATATATATATATATATATGTATATATATAAATATATATATACATATATTAAAATTTATATATATTTATATATATATATATATATACATATATATATATACATATATATATATATATATATATATATATATATATATATATATATATATATATATATATACATATATAAAAATTTATATATATTTATATATATATATATATATATACATATATGTATATATATATATATATATATATATATATATATATATATATATATATATATATATATATATATATATATATTTATATATATATATATATATATATATATATATATATATATATATATATATATATATAAAAGGTTACAATCATTTAAGCAATCATTTATATGTATTCTACTATGAAATAAAATTGACTTTTTATAAAAATCTGCAACTAATTTGAATTTTATTGAAATGTTTTAATTTTTAAAATAAAAAGTTTAAATTTTTTCCTACAAAGACTTTCAAAAACCATTTATTATATAAAGTTCAAAGAGGTCCGTAAAGTGGTGGTAAAAATAATTCTTTTCGTAATCGAGAAACTATACATCCAACTTGTTTACTGTTTTTATTTTCGTTACATACGCTTTTCGACTTTTTTAAGCTTATATCACCGTTAACACGAGTTAAAATTCGAACAACGTCCATTTTAAGAGCGTACTTTTTGAAGTTAGATACAATAGCTTGAATAAACCATGAACCATCATCTGATCGAAATGAAACGTAATCATCTACAGTAGCATAGGCACACAACAAATTGCTTTCTGCAGGTAGATCTAATAGGTTTCCTTTCTTTGATATATTTTTTAATTTATCAGAACTAAGCGATGGCATAAATGTCGATCCTCGACACGCTTGAACTAAAAGTAATTTTGGTTTTTCGGCTAATGGTGGTGCGCAGATTTCTTTTATTATGTCATTTATATTTAAAAGTTTGTCACAGCAACGTATTTTTCCCTGTTCACCATGCGTTAGCACTGCTACTACATAGCAACTCATTTTAGAAACATCTTCGTTTGCTGTCTTTTTCAGTATGTCTGTTACATCCTTCAAGTTGGGGTTATCAAGTCTATGAACGTTAAAACCTAGTTTAAGAAAAAGATTACAAAGTTCCTTTGCATCTTTGCGTGTACCCACCCTTTTTTCCTCATCAGAAATAGCATTCGTAAACTCTTCTACGTTTATTATTGTTAGAATTCCTCTTGGAAAAGTCCCTATATCATAAAGTTTATCAGAATCAAATTTGTAATCATCTATCGAGAAAGCTTTGTTCGGTTCTTTACAAGTATAGTGTTTGTAAATAAATTGAATGTTTTTTCCGTTATCCCTATCGAACACAATATTTTTTTTTTTGTACAGTTTGTCTTGGTTTTGCTTCGGATTTAACTTGTGAGACTCCTCCTCATGCATTTTAGCAAATAGTTTTTTAGCTTCATCAAAAAAAATATTAACTTGATTATTAAAGATTTTAGTATTACGTTTAAAGTATAATAAAGTTAAGTTACGTTTAAAGTATAATAAAGCATAATAAATGTTTTAAAATGCATTAAATTGTTATTTAGTTTACTTTAAAATTTATAAATAAAAAATAAATAATTGTTTACTTTGGGTGAGCATGCTTTAAATAATGAGTAAATAATGTATAATAAATAAAAAATAAATTATTTATTTTATGTATTATACAAAGTTGCTGCAAATATACATAATGTTTACAAATAAAAATACATAGTATTATATTTTAAAATGTTAAAACGTAGACATATAAGTTTTAAACTTTTTTTTCTACTTAATTTTTTACATATCATAAATTTCAAAAACATGTTATAAAAAAAAAATAATAATAATATTACAGTATAATAAAATTTTATGTTACTTGCCAAATAAAATTAAAATCAAATATATTTTTAAAAAATTATGCAATTATTGTTATTTTTATTATTGTTGTTGTTGTTATTGCAGATAAAATAATTATTAATTTTAGCTGGAAACAAAACAAAAAACTAAATGATAAAATAAAGCTAAAATCAAAGTAAAGAAACTCCCATTTATTTAATTCATACCACCTCCCACAAGAGAGAGCAAAAAACTTACCTCTACAACATTATTTTAGCAAAAACTCTAAAAAACAAAAGTAATACAGTAAATTTCCGAAAGATATCAAACAAAAGAAAAAAAAACAATTCGCAGGTATAAAGTATTGTTTTAAAACCATTCACTGCAATAATAAATTATTTAAAAACATCAAATAAAACAAAATCACACACACAAAAAGAACGAGTTTGCAACATAGATTAAACTACTTACTCATGCATCTGCTAAGTCTAGTTTGCTCTCAAGATTCTTGGATCATCCAAAACATTTCTGTTGTTTTCTTAAAATAATTTTTTTGTTTTTTTTTTGTTTTTTGCACAAGTTTTAAACTGAACAACTTTTTTTTGAAGAACTTAAGAATTGTTTTTAAAACGCGTACTTCAAGTGTCAAACATTTAAAACATATATGCAACAGAAGTCATACCTTTGAAACCAGAGCCATCCCGAAAAAGGATGGCATAGGTTGGGCTTTTTAAAAATTTTAACGGTAAACAACCCCATATTCCGAATGTACTATTAGTAAAACAGTACACTAATAAAGTTGTCGGTAAGATTAAGCTATTCAATTAAAATTTCTAAAAAATAATGTTTTCTTTATATTTCTGTATTGCGAAACTATTTTTAAATTGTCATAAGTTACTTTAAGCAAAAAAAAAACTTAAGGTTTTTAACTTTAAGTTAATAGCAAAAACCTTCAACCAATACCCTATTTTATTTAAAGTTTGCGCTGAAGAACTTTAAAGCTAAAGTTCTGTTTTGAATTTATCTTAAAATAGTCTACAATAGTGTTTCAGAAGAAAAAGTTTCACGAATTACGAAGAGAACTCTTCTGTTTATACTTGGTATTTATGTTGCTACAAATATAGTTATAAATACCTTATAAGGTATTTATATATTAAGCTTAATTTATACATTCTTACGGTATACATTTTTCAAAGCGATGAACATCGTTTAATTGCTACCAATTAAACCATGATATTATTCAGATTATTTTTAATAATGTTATCGACTCCGTATTATTATTTGCGTTGACTATTTACATTTTATTTTAACTTTATTAAACACTCAATAATGTTGAACGTTAAATAAAGTTAATGAACTTTAAATGAAGATGTAAGCAAAATTGCCATATAAGCAAACAACAAGCAAACGCACTCCTTACCAGCAACACTGGTAAGGAGTGGGATGTAAACACTGTGATAATACCCTGTGAAGGTGGTAAAAAATGGAGAAAGCTTAATAATAAAAAAAAAAATTACTCCATTTATTACTACTTTATAATAAACAACACATTATTCCGATAGCATTGAAAATGCAACCTTACACTTAAATTAGAGTATTAAGGTTTCGCCAAACCAAAATATGCTAATATTAACGTATTTTAATATGTTATAATAATAAATCAAAGTATGTTAATATTAACATATTTTAATATGTTATAATAACAAATCAAAGTATGTTAATATTAACGTATTTTAATATGTTATAATAACAAATTAAAGTATGTTAATATTAACGTATTTTAATACATTATAATAACAAATCAAAGTATGATAATGTTAACGAATTTTAATAAGTTATAATAACAAATCAAAGTATGTTAATATTAACATATTTTAATATGTTATAATATCAAATCAAAGTATGTTAATATTAACGTATTTTAATATGTTATAATAACAAATCAAAGTATGTTAATATTAACGTATTTTAATATGTTATAATAACAAATCAAAGCATGTTAATATTAACGTATTTTAATATGTTATAATAACAAATCAAAGTATGTTAATATTAACGTATTTTATTATGTTATAATAACAAATCAAAGTATGTTAATATTAACGTATTTTAATATGTTATAATAACAAATCAAAGTATGTTAATATTAACGTATTTTAGTATGTTATAATAACAAATCAAAGTATGTTAATATTAACGTATTTTAATATGTTATAATAACAAATCAAAGTATATTAATATTAACGTATTTTAATATGATATAATAACAAATCAAAGTATGTTAATATTAACGTATTTTAATACATTATAATAACAAATCAAAGTATGATAATGTTAACGAATTTTAATAAGTTATAATAATAAATCAAATTATGTTAATATTAACATATTTTAATATGTTATAATATCAAATCAAAGTATGTTAATATTAACGTATTTAAATGTTATAATAACAAATCAAAGTATGATAATATTAACGTATTTTAATATGTTATAATAACAAATCAAAATATGTTAATATTAAGGTATTTTAATACGTTATAATAACAAATCAAAGTATGTTAATATTAAGGTATTTTAATATGTTATAATAACAAATCAAAGTATGTTAATATTAACTTATTTTAATATGTTATAATATCAAATCAAAGTATGTTAATATTAACGTATTTATATGTTATAATAACAAATCAAAGTATAATAATATTAACGTATTTTAATATGTTATAATAACAAATCAAAGTATGTTAACATTAACGTATTTTAATATGTTATAATAACAAATCAAAGTATGTTAATATTAACGTAATTTAATATGTTATAATAACAAATCAAAGTATGTTAATATTGACGTATTTTAATATGTTATAATAACAAATCAAAGTATGTTAATATTAACGTAATTTAATATGTTATAATAACAAATCAAAGTATGTTAATATTGACGTATTTTAATATGTTATAATAACAAATCAAAGTATGTTAATATTAACGTATTTTAATATGATATAATAACAAATCAAAGTATGTTAATGTTAACGTATTTTAATACATTATAATAACAAATCAAAGTATGATAATGTTAACGAATTTTAATAAGTTATAATAACAAATCAAAGTATGTTAATATTAACATATTTTAATATGTTATAATATCAAATCAAAGTATGTTAATATTAACGTATTTATATGTTATAATAACAAATCAAAGTATGATAATATTAACGTATTTTAATATGTTATAATAACAAATCAAAGTATGTTAATATTAAGGTATTTTAATACGTTAAAATAACAAATCAAAGTATGTTGATATTAAGGTATTTTAATAAGTTATAATAACAAATCAAAGTATGCTAATATTAACGTATTTTAATATGTTATAATATCAAATCAAAGTATGTTAATATAAACGTATTTATATGTTATAATAACAAATCAAAGTATGATAATATTAACGTATTTTAATATGTTATAATAACAAATCAAAGTATGTTAACATTAACGTATTTTAATATGTTATAATAACAAATCAAAGTATGTTAATATTAACGTAATTTAATATGTTATAATAACAAATCAAAGTATGTTAATATTGACGTATTTTAATATGTTATAATAACAAATCAAAGTATGTTAATATTAACGTATTTTAATATGTTATAATAGCAAATCAAAGTATGATAATATTAACGTATTTTGATTTGGTGAAACCTTAAGATTAATACTTTAATTTAAGTTTTAGGTCTTTAGTCTGTTATTTATTAATAAATTGTAATAAATAGAGAAAGTTTGAAATATTTTTATTTCGAATTATAAATAATAATTTTATTTTATTTTGAATTTAAAATCTGTATTTTCAAATTGAATTCGAGTTCAAAATCTGTAATAGTTACAGACTCAATTCAAATGTAGCTTAGAATTATCACTACCTTTATAGTTCCAAGGGTGATTATCAAGTTTTTTTTCAAGTTTTAGCCCCAAATGTATACACTAAATAATGATAGGATTAATCCTATTACTATTTAGTGTATACATTTGGGGCGAATTCTTAAAAAAAAATAATGATAGTCACCCTAGAAACTTCAAAAGTAGTGATAATTCAAGTCTACATTTAAATTGAATTTGTAACTATTACTGATTTTGAATTCAAGATGCCACATCACATCGTTAAAAGGTAAAAATGAAAGTGCGAAGCTTAGAAATTCTGAAATTAAACATTTAATAATGATCTCTTCAAATATATATTTATATTTATATTTCTGATCATACCAGAAATGATAAAAAAATACCTTTGAGAAGACGAGAAGAAGAGAAGTTTAAGAAAAAGAAAAGTACAGCAAATACCATCTGAATCAATTGAATCCCCAGTTATACCGTAAAATAATTTCATCTGAAATTGAATTAAAAGATCAGCCAACTTAGCCTAAGTAGCAATACAAACGAGTAACAAAGAATGGACTTAAAATGAGTAGAATTAAATGGCTTAAAAACGAGTTGCAATAAAAGTTAAACTAAAATCGCTGAAACATTTAAATATGAATTATTAGAAATTAATTAGAGCATATAAGTAAGAATAGTAATAATAACAGTAATGATGATATAAGGGAGGAAGGGGAGGGGATGGTTACTTAATATCCGGGTTTCTATGATCAACTTTTGTAAGTAGGTTTCCTACAAAGTTGAAACAAATGTTAATTTAAAAAAAAGAAACGTCAGTAGATTTGTTTCATAAATTTGAAAAACTATATAAACTTTTAGCTGAGTGCGATTTAAAACTAGAAAAAGTACAAACCATTTACATTTGGAAAAGATTTTCATTTTTTTCAACGTTGTCTATAACACACGTTTAGCACGGATTATTATAATGGCTACCTAGCTGTCCCAAGAACGCCACTTATACGGAAAGTTAGCATACATAAGATACTCTGTGATGCAAACTTTGAAATCATTTAATTTTGTGGTGCGGAAAATAATTTAATTTGAATGTTCAAATTAAGCCGAATTTTGACTTCGTAGTGCGCCAATAAAAACACTTGTAGACTTTGAACTACTCAATATAATTTGATAAAAATTAGTCAAAATTTAGCCAATAGTCTCACTAATCTCTGGGCAATAAATCAGCCTTATTGGATAACTAGTGTAGGACTTATTGCAGTTTTAGGTGAAGTTTTGTCAGTTTTTTGTTACTTATACCCCAAAGCGTTACCTATTACTTTGAAATTCGGTCACTATTTTTAAAATCACGGTTACATGAGTGTCCTGCTATATAATACCAACAATTTTTGTTATAATTATTTTATCGGAACATGTACAGTTTTCACTTTATAAACCAAAATAGTGATTTGTTACTTAAAGCGTGATTTGAATTGGCTTATATGAATTGGCTTGAATTGGCTCTGTCTGAAGAAATGTTTAAGACAGCTCACTACTTTTCAAGCAGATCGAATATGCCAACTGTTGGTTTTTTGTCAATCACTATTGATTTGGTTTTTTATCAATCACTATTGATAGTGAAAACTTTGGTTTTCACTATCA